ACCGGCTGCTCCACGCTCGAGGACGGCTGCCCTGCCCAGGGCAGTGGTCACCTTGTCGCCGCCGGAACACAGCCTGGGCGCTTGGGGAACCAGGTCTAGAGTCCCACGTGCACTTAGCCAAAGGTAGGAGTGTGGTGCCAAGACCACACTTCTCGAAGGCAGTGACTACAGGCTGGTGTGGTTTCCACGGGCAGGTTTCAGCAGCTTCTGTCACCAGTAAGGTTGGTGAGCTTCCTCCCCGTGTAGTCCTGATTTCATCACTTGACTCACTTCAAGGCGGCTGGTGGTTTCCGTTTCTGGGCGCGCAGCTCAGGCAGGGGCGCTTAAAGGAGCGCCTGTCTCCCAAGGAGGAGCCTCTGGTATTTGGCAAAGTGTGATCAACTTGGGGTGCACCTCCCCTCCCTAGTTGCTACCGATTCCCAGAGGAGATTGAACTCGGGGACAATAGTCAGCACTCCCCTGGCCTTGTTTGGAAAGAGATTGTGGCTTCCTGGAGAGCGCTTAACTTTTACTCTGGGTTTGTTGAAAAGCTCAACATCTATTCTGCAAGGTGAGAAAAAGGATTCTAGGAAGATTTTAGATTTTACCCTTGTTTTTCGGCAGTTTTTTTTTTTTAAATCGAACTTTCCCTTTTAAAATAGTTTACAACTTTCCATTCCAGCCTTCCGTCTCTTGCTGTGTCCTTGACTATCCCAAGTCAGGACTTTGAACAACACTAGGAACTCATTTATTTGCCTTTATCTTAAAACTTTTTGAGTTGAAGGGATATAAATGGAAAAATAGCTAAAGATTCTTTGGGTAACGTGTAATTTCCTGGTGACAGATTTTTCATTAAAGATTGGCTGTGGTCTTCCTCCTACTTTTTTGACACATACTCAAAGGCTGCTTATTTACTGATTTATTCATGTTATGTGTGATTTAAAAGTAAGTTTAAAATACTGATTTGTACAATATCAACAAGCATAGCCTTACTTGGCTACTCAATGACATCTGTTTTAGCATCCACAGTGCTACGTATTTTATACTATATCTATGAATTACATTTAAGACTTTACTTAGGTAAAGTTCTGTGCAATAAGGTTATTTTGTAAGCATCAAGAGACTTTTGTGCACTGGTGACATTTTAATGCCAGTACCTAAAGCCAATTTTTAAGCTGCTCCTCCATCCACCCCACCCACCAAAACATTCAGGAGATAATTATACATGTTGCCATGCAAAGTCTGTAGTGGTTGTCCTTCAGTTCAGAACTGAAAACATTAAATTACGCCTCCTCTTTATTTTCAGTGCTGCAACATTCTTTGCTGTTTGCCTTTAATGCTAATATTTGAGGGCTGGGGATTTAGCTCAGTGGTTCTGATGCCTGTGTCACAAGCTCAAGGTCCTGAGTTCACTCCCCAGTACTAAAAAAAAAAAAAAGAGGAATTTCAGAGAAATCCTAAATGTTTGACCAAGAAGTCTATATCTTGGACTTCTTGGATGCACCACCCATCCCTGGATGAAACAGGAGCCAAAGACTGTCAGATATTTGATGTTTCAACAGGCAAAGGGCAACAGTCTCCACTGACAATCAGGATAGAACAGATGGATATAGAAGAGTAATCTGGAAACCAAAAGCCAAGAGGCAGGGGCCTCAAGACTAGAAACATCAAATAACAACAGAAAAGAGAAGCCAGGGCAGACCCACAAAAAAAGAGCCCAAGCAAACAAAAGACTAAGCTCCTGCCTGAGGAGTGAAAAGAAAAAAATATGTAAAAATGGTCAAGAGTTGCTAAAAACTGGCTGTTAGTTTCACAATGGGAAGAGATAATTTAACCAGGGAAAGAAACATTTCTGAATCTGGCATTGCTTATAAAATTTCATACATTATTTGTACTATTATAGCATTCTGAAAGCAAAGCCTTAAAATTAATGAAAGTTTTTTTTCTACTTCACAATAAAATTTCAAATGCTGCAAGCCTAATAAATGTATTATTGTTTAGTGTCCCAAATCTAATCAGATGTAGAGGTTTTGAAAGTATCCTCCTATTGAAAAGTATGAAATGAAGGATTTATGAAAGGAAAATTAGCATTTTATCCTCAAATAAAATCCAGAACTTTATCATATACATGCTTCTCAGAAAAAAAGTTTATTTTAGTAGTACATGTTTAGCATATAATGGCAGTTAAATTAGAATATTGGGTAGATTTTCCTTGGGGAAGAAGAGAGACAACTATCTCACCCTCTCTCTTCCCCATTTATACAAGTATGTACACACACAACTAGCCACAGAATTCTCAGTATGGATTTGAAACAATACCTAGTGTTTAATTATTTGCTAACATTTAAATTAGTATCAAGACCAGTACCTGGTACTGAGTAGGTGCTTAATAAATATACATAAACTGAGTAAACTAATCCATCAAAAACCATGAGGAAACAAATATGTACAGTATTGTGAGCACAGTAGAGGTCTAAAGAATGGCTGTACACAACAGTATGGGCAAATAATCAGGGGCAAGATTGAGAATCTGTAGGACAATGTACTAATAGATACTAGTTTTCACTTACCTCTGTTTCAAAAGGGAGTGTGAAAAACAACTTACACTGCTACAAGTTACTTTACTTCTGGGCTTAAATTTGTCTTTCCAGGAGAACTAGTATTATGTTCAAGATATCTCCAAGTTCCTGATATTCTAGTTAATGTCAATTCCAAGCCAAAGGAATCATCATTTGAAAAAACAAACAAACATACAAATAAAAAAACAAAAAGCTCCAGAATGTAGCAATGATAATTAATGAACAAAAATTTTAAAATTAAAATTAGTGCAATAGGGGCTGGGGATTTAGCTCAGTGGTTCAGTGGCCTGCCTTGCAAGTGCAAGGACCTGAGTTCAATCTCCTGTACCAAAAAAAATAGTGAAATAAAATCTTAGCAGTATATAATATTAGTAGTATATAATGTAATGAGTAAGATTGTGCAGATTCACTAAGTCCAAATTTAAAGTTATTTTTGTTTTGTTTTTGAGGCAGGTTCTCACTATGTAGTTGAGACTGACCCAGAACTCACTATGTAGCCCAGGCTGGTCAGCAATCCTCCTGCCTCAGCCTCCCAAGTGCAGGGATTACAGGCGTGAGCCACCACACCCTGCCAAATTTAAATATTTTTAATTTGTTAATTGTGTAATTGTTTGTTACATAGGACTTAGCAACTTTAGTTTGAAACATATGCCCTGATTTAAATTTTAAAAACAGTTTTGTCTCTTGAGAACCTAGTCAGGATCTCAAAGTCAAACAGAGTTTTGGCTCAACGACCTAACAGATTGAAATAATTTCTTCAAAAACAAGGGAAAGAATTGAAATGCTATTGACTAAGAAGTAGGATAGTAGCGATGCCTTAGTAAAGAGCCACAAATGTGTTTTAATTTTTTGTAGAAATGATTCAGCATAATCCTGCATTGTTAATGCAATGAAAATACAGATTTTTCAAGTTTGAATTTTTTGAAAATTGTATGTCATTTTTTGCCTTGAATAATAGTATCAAAATAACCATCAGAGATTTTCAAATAGGTATACATTTCTTGGAGGGCAAATATTGATTTAAACTGCAAATGAACTATGTCTTGTTAGTCTTGTATTCATAATAGTTGGCACATAGTAGGTGCTCAATAAATAATTGATGAAATGTATTGACCAGAGTGCAGAGTTTCAAGCTTTTAAGCATTAGTATAAAAGCAAAAAGAAACACCGTGCTGGCCGTGCTGAGTTAGACTGATATTAGATATAGCTCACTCTAATTTCTGACTGGCACCCAAAGATATTTCATGGGAAAATATGATAATGGTCTTGCATGATCTTGACCTCTGAGAAGTACTCAACATATCCTTGACTCACACTTTTTCTAAATCGATTTATCTTTTCCTATAAAAATATTTTCATTGTGAATCAATTCATGCTCATTATAGAAAGATTAAAAAGACAAATTAAACTAGTTTTTGAAATACTCAAAAATTGCTCATACTAAGGTGAGGTAATTCTGTCAGATCCTTTCCAAACAAGTCTGGAGTGGAGTGATTTCTGGGGATCCAAAAACAAGACCTAACCGGTGCTAGGCAAGACCTTTACCACTGAGCCACACATCTGCACAAATGTAGGCTGTAGACTGTCTATTTGAAAGAATGTTTTCAGTGTGAGCCAGTTTTCTGTTGCCAATCCAAATTTCATTAAGACTTGTGCAGAATGGAGAAGAGACTGTAAAGGCTAGAGCAGGGCAGGCATTGACAGTAAGTCTGGACCTCACCTTTTTAGAGCTCATATTGTGCAATTACCTGCGGCGCTATTCATAGAAAACAGGACGTGCAGGAATGCAGCTCTGACCCTTGGAAGCAGGACGGTGAAGGGTCTCTAGGATTCCAAAGAGTTCTGGTCTCCCAGACTCCACTACAAAGCAATGAGACTGCAGTATTACTCCTTGCTCAATATTTATTAGGAACAGAAAACATTTTTATGTGGGATCTTGAGTCAGGCCTTGGATAGCCCAGAAATCCGCATGTGCCCCCCAAAATGTACTCTAAGTCAGGTGAAATGGTTTAGATCTACATGTTTTTGCCAAGTTTGTATTTATGTTTATGAGCACATGTTTGCAGTGCATAATGTTTACACTCTGTATGTGGAGTTGGTACATGTATGTAATGCATCTTCATTTTTTTTTCATCCTCTTTCCCTCCCTTTTCTCCCTTTCCCTCCTTCTCTTGATCCTCTCCCATTGGAGAAAGATCTCTCTCCCTACTTTGTCTTTTGAGCCATGCCCATTCCTGTCTGGGGCTGCTTTGAAACTACACTGGCAGTGTCAAGTAGTTGTGTCAGAAACAGCAGAATCTACAAAGTGTAAGATATTCACTACATGGCCCTTTAAAGGGGAAAAAAAATCTTCATTTTAGATGAATCAGAGAGAAGTGGTAAAACTTCAGTCCTGTTTGCTAACAAAAACAAAAAACAAGCCACACAGATCATGATCAAAAAGTACCTTGGGTTTGGGATGTAGTAGAGCATATGACACCCTGGATGCCTGTGATGCCTAATGCCTATTGTCTTGTACAAGCACCCTCCACTCTGCTCATTGCACACCTTGCTCTGGGAAGGACTTACAGAATGCAGCTGCCTCCTTAATGAAACAGGGTAAATCCCTGGTTTTACTAAGGTCTACATATTGCCAGAGATGTAACAGAGATCTCAGAGAAAAA